ATTCTGTTAGTGTAATCAGAGGATATCAGTAGCTGGAAACGAAGATTTACTGGGATAACACGCGTAAGCAATAAGAAATAAAACTTGAGCAGAACATTATTAGACAAAATTATTAACTCAAGCCACGATGATCAATTTCAGTTATCTTGGAGAGGAAGAAAGCCAGTTGTACAATCTTTTACTCAACATAATTTTCCACAAAAAAAAACTAGGAAGGTCAACAGAAACGAGGGGGACAGCCTCCACTAACGCCGATCTCATGCCCTTCTCGAAGCTGCAGGCGCACCAAACCGCGTAATCGCCTTGCGGGAAACAAAGCCTTGGAAGAGAAGACGTACGTGGAAGCAACTGGGTGATGGCACTCATCATTTGTGGTGATAAAGCCCCATAATGGAACTTTGGAGGCGATGGATTTGTCGTACACCCATCTTATCTATCTTGTCGATTCGTAAGATACCTATTACCTCCCTGGCTATCCTTCAACTCTGTCCTTTACATCAGAAAACCATCACTTCAACTGCTACTATCAACATCAGCAGCTGATGACGAACTTAATGCTTTTTCTGAGGATTTGGAGGGACTCATCCGCAAAAAAGATCCCTATGTAAAATTGTCGTTGGTGAGTTCAATGCGAAAATCTAGATATCTAGATGCCATAAGAAGGGAAGCATAGGATTGGAAGATTATCAGGAATCCGGAAATAGAATGGTATCCGACTTGTCGGCCCCGGCATGACTTTTCATGGCAACTCCATCTTTATGAAGAAACCGGCGATGGATACGAGAGTCACTCAACGCTCATGCGGAGATCGACCACATTCTCACCAACCAAAGGTCGTACTTACTGGACGTTTCTCTGGTACCATCCTTCAGCGCCCAGGCTTAGATCACAGTCTCCTTCGAGCAAAAGTACGCCGAAAGCTGGAAAGGAAGAGGTTAGAGGAAGAAAGAAGTCGCGTATGATGGCGTAGGATTGGAAAAGCTCCTGACCGCTTGCGAATGGCCCGTTGAAGAGGGCCCAACGAAGGATAGCTGCTTCTCAGAAAACTGAGATCCTGTGGTGAAAGAGCCTCAATACCTAGAACAAGGAACTTGGAACAAATTTCGAAAACCATCAAAGAGGAACAGAATCTGCTTGAGAGTGGAGACTGAGCAGAGATTAGAAGAGCACTGTGGCTGAATTCGACTGCATCACATTTCGCGCGACTGATAGCCAATACCATTTGCAGTAGATTTGCAAGAAGTCTTCCAAAGTGCAGGCAATCGAAACTTTTGGAAGCTACAGGGAAATAAAAGTCTAAAGAAGTACAGCCGGGACCTTCTCGACTACCGTGTTCCGCTGACAACATTAATAAATCAAGATGGGAATCACACGGCTACGAAGAAATTCTACACAATCTCTTCCGCTCATCAACACTCGTGACAAATCCTGCTTTCTCTACCAAGGAGATACCACCGCAGATTCTACCTGCTGAACTACGCGCCGCAATTCAGACCATAAATGTAGCCGCGGCTCCGGGATCGGGCCACGTTTCAGCCTACCTCTTGAGCTGGAAGACATCGCCTATACGAGATACTTTCGACACACCTAATGTCTTACCTTCAATAGTAAAGGATTCCCGACCAGTGTAAAACCTCCTAAACAATCCTCCTTCATAAGAAAGGCGATAGGGAGGATTTTCGGAATTATAGATCAATATGCCTGCTGAGCGTGCTGTACAATCTTCGCGAAGACTATTCTCGCTCGCATATCAAGGACACTGGATGAAGCCCAACCTGTAGAATAAGCTGGATTTCGTGCTGCGTAAATCAAATCCAGACAGTTTCGAGGACTATCCATGTTTGTCGAGAGTACCGCCTACCTCTCGTCCTAACCTTCGTTGACTTTGAGAAGGCGTCGAGACTAATGCCATACTGTCAGCGCTCGTCGACTAAGGGATGGACCCATCTATGTGAGGACATTGGCCGACTGCTACAGGAACTGCTCTACAACGGTACAGCTTTTCCATCGTCCTCTTAACAAAGCAGTCTCGAAGGCAGTTCGAAAAGGCGACACCGTGTCGCCAAAGCTGTTTACCACCACGTTGCAGTGGGTGACGAAATCACTGGATTGAGACGAAAGAGGTATACGAGTTGATGTGAGATTTCTGTTGAACCTTCGTTTTGCGGACGACATTGTTCTCTTCTCGAGAAATATCGCTGAAGCGGAGACGATGTTGGAGGAACTAGACGAAGTAGGGAAGCAGATAGGACTGCCAGCCGGAAGGAGATTCAGTTCATAAAGGACGCTTTTAGCGAGGATTAGGAAATAGAATTAGAGGGCTCTCCATTTGCGGAGACGTCTTCTTACATATATCTCGGGTGTTCGATGAACATGGAGAACGATCAGAAAGAAGAACTAAACATGAGGCAAATAGCAGCGTGGGCCGCCTTCGGGGACCTAAAGGAAGCCACAGACCAGCTGACGGACCCAGTGCTCCGAGCCCACCTGTTCGATTCAACTGTTCTCTCTGCGCTCTGCTACGCAGCAGAGACGTGGCCTGACGCTGTGGCTACGTTAAAGGCTCTCCGAACAACCCACACAGCGCTGGAACGACGTCTAAAGTACAACCGACGCACTCAACATCTCGTCGGGCTTCGCAGTTTAGATATGACATCAATGTTTCGTCTTTGCGATCCAGCGGAATACATCTTCAAGGAAAAGCATCGATGGGCTAGTCATATAATGGGAAGACAGACGACAATGGACACTAAGAATTCTGGGAAGGATTCCTCGCAAAGCAAAACGTCCTCGGGAGAGGCCATCGATCAGATGGGCTGACGTGTTCGTTGCACGGATATAGCAGCTGAACTCTCAGCTGGTAACGAGTAATGGATCTGGACCTCGCGAACGTCGCCGATGCAGCATCATGGATAACGCTAGCGAGAGGCAGAAACGGACGGACAACGCTGGGACCTGCACGACAAGTGGGGAAAGGCATCTAAGTATCTAAGTATCTAGCTGACTATACTGATAAATTTGACTTAGGGCATGTCACAAATGTTACATAGCTGTTTGCACAAAGCAGCAACTCAAGAACAGATCTACGACTTTGGGATCGAGAATTTTAAACGATTCCTTCTCGGCATAAAGTAGTGTTGTTTGGAAGGTAGACAGAATTAAAACCACATGTTTTTCGCATTCTTCTGATTTTCCCTAATCTTTGCTTTACGAATGTCTAAAACACTGTCAAAAAAAAAAAAACTCGACAACATCTTTTTAGCCTTTTTTCTGCGTGACTCTAGCACCTGAAAACTGATCAACTTCAACTGTTCATTAATGTGCCTCAGATTAGCACTATAAACTAGACCGTACCTTCCACAATCTAAATACAGAGAAGCTAAGGTCCCGTTCTCTATATCCAAGGTCGATTAATAACGCAATATGGAGAAAGTCTTTAAGATTTATTGCTTTTG